CACACACACACACACACACACACACACACACACGTGCCAGGCATGTTTTTTAAACCACCAGGTCCAAGATTCCATGTGGAATCCAACAGCCTTAGCCACCACACACCAGCCAGCCCGTAAGTGTCATTAATATGTTAAAGGACAAAGTGGAAAAGGTAGATGACGTGCATAAAGAAGGGAATAATATGGGTAGCAGATAAATACTATGAAAAAGAATTCAGTGGAAATATTATAAATTTTTAAAATGTGACAAGAGGGATGAGGAATTCCTTTCACAAGCTCATCAGTACACTCTACAAGGCTGAAGAAAAAAGTAACAAATTTGATAATAAGCCATAGGATATGCACGGCTCGTGTTCACTAGGTTTGCTCCCACCTAATTATTTGAGCCATACTGTTTTATACTCCCATCAGAAATCAACAAAAGCTCCTATCCTCCAGTATTCATGTCAACATTTGATATTTTTAGAGTTTTACTTTTTTCTGATTTGATGGATGTGACTTTGTTGATGGCTGAGTAAATTTTGCTAAGTTATGTGACTTTTCTGAGCTTCTATTTTAGTACCTATAAAAGGTTCCCTCTAGGTCCAGCAGGTGACAGTGGTTAAGGTTCTGGATCCCACATGGTTGACTGCATGGTTCGAGTCCTGGACACAAAGGCTTGAAGAACATGCCAGGCACATGTACTCACATATCCAAAATCCCAAGAAGATAATGGAGGAGAAGGGATTGTTGTATGGCCATCCCCTTTGGGGAGTGTTTTCTCACTTTACCTCTCTTTCTCTGTCTCTGTCTCTCTCCAACAAACACACACACCCCATGGCAAAAGCAATGAATAAATAAATAAATCTCTCTTATGGTTAATGAATTAGAAAAATAATATTCTTTCTGGTCAGAACAGACTCTCACAAACAGGGCTTAAAGATCAAGAGCACCATTGTTTAAGCAAAAGATTCCTTTTCATCCAGCCAGCACAGTCCCACCATGTCCCCCTAGTTGGCTCACTGAGCATGGGCTGGCTGGATATAAGGCTCTGCCCACCACCTTGTCTGGTGCCTTTATGTAATGCCAATGACCCAGTCATACACTATGGTGTTGCCTGGCCTCACAGAAAGAGACAACAAGACACCCTCACAGTACTCTTTGGAGCCCTAAGTGTCTCCATTACCCCACTATCGTGCAGCTCAATTTCTCTACACACTTCAAGGCTGGCAGGATCCACTGGTTTATCATTTAGGTTAATGACACTTCCTCCAACATTGTGTGAAATCCCCACAATTGCATTGCCAAACATTCGAGCCCTGGAGCTACTAGGAAGCTAAGGGTCAAAAGGCTAGCCTCTCAGTTGTTTAATTCTGCCCACAAGATATGCAGAAGGGTACTGAGACTGTTAGACTGGGAGACAGAGAATCAAAAGGCATCATGAAGTTCAAAGTTGGCCCTGAGAGCAGGCAGAACAGAAATAGGTTGTTGTAAGCAGCTATACAACACGCGATGCTGTCTCTAAAATTAGTGGTTTTTAAAATGTTTATTTTTTATTTATTTCTTCTGAAAGAAAAAGCTACCCCCAGCAGGATCCTCATGCTCAACCAGCAGTTTCTGAGGCATGCACATGCCTACTGTGTACCTAGAGACTGCGACACAAACCCAAGACCGTCTTGTGTGTCTTCAGCATCATGAAGTATTGCAATATAATTGCACCATCAAGGTGGGCCCTGGAGTCAGTCACTTAATTTTTATTTGTTTCTGTCCCTAAACTCCTAAAAGGACAATTTTATACAACACTCCACAATTTCACAAAAGAACAATACTCCACTCCACAAATATTTTTAGATTCTTTATTCCACCAAGATTTTCCAAATCCCCATATTGTCACTCTAGGTTTGTTCTGTAAAAATGGTACTACAAGTACTGTTTTTTTTTTTTTTGGTTTGTTTTTGTTGTTGTTTTTTTTTGGTGTTTTTTTTTTTTTTTTTTTAATTTTTAAAATTTTTTTTTTTTTTTTTTTTTTTTTTTTTTTTTTTTTTTTTTTTTTTTGGTTTGTTGTTGTTGTTGTTGTTTTTCTCGCTACATTTACTTTGCAATACCAGTAGGACCAAGGCGATCAGAGCTACAGCAGAGAAAAAGAAAGCCTTAGTATACTTAAAATGCATATGACCATTTTGTCAAGAAATTGCACAAAAATATAAGAGAAGATTTAGCAACAGCTGATGAAGGATCACCTTTGTATTCTTATGACACCTCTTTCACCCCCTCCTTTCTCCCTCCCCCCAGAAATACATTTTTAGAAATGGACTGTAAGAAAATGAATTGGAAAAAGATGTATGTATTTCCTTTCTCCAGTTCCTCCCACATCACAAGAATATGCTTCTTTTTTTTTTTTTTGGAGAGGATTTTGCTATAGGGCGCATGCGCTCGCCAGACAGACAGAGAGAGACAGAGAGACAGAAAGCAAGAAATGACCCCCCGGGGGGGTGGCCACGCCGCAATCCCTTCTCCTCCATTCTCCTCTCGGGATCTTGGGCACGAACGCACACGCACCCGAGAATATGCTTCTTTGATTCAACAGTGGAAACAAGCAGAAACTAAGGCTATGGGACTGAGGTGGGTCAAGAGTGAATTTCACTTTTACCTCCTTTGTCTACTTTCATGGTTTGATTAAAATATAAACACACTTCAAATTTTGCAATGATGATAGTGGACAGGAGTAGTTAGGATTGTGTAAACTACTAAACAATCTGTCATGAGGATCATCCACCTTAAAACTAATCTTTGAGGAATTGACAGCAACGTTTCACTCCATCTCGAAGGGCCTCTTTGACTTTGTCATTCCGGAGAGTAAAGATGAAAGGATTCAGGAAAGGGGTTAACACTGAAACCAACAGGGAAGCTATCTTATTGTACTCAGCGCCCTGCGTTTGCTTGGGTTTCACATAAAGGAAGAAGCAGCTGCCGTAGCGAATGATGACCAGGAAGCAGCTGCCATAGCCAATGATGACAAAGGTGAAGTGGGAGGCACAAGTGGAGAAGGCTTTCTTCCGACCAGAGGCTGAGGGGATCTTGAGGATGGTGGAGATGATGTAGGTGTAAGAGACAATTGTCGGGATCAAAGAGCCAATGATAATAAAAACAGCCATTAGAAAAAGAACAAACTCTGTGAAAAGAGTGTCATCACAGGATAGTTTGAGCAACTGCCCTCGGTCACAGTAAAAGTGATCTAGCAGATTTGATTTGCAGAAGGTAAACTGAAATGTGGCATAGACTGGCCAGATTTCAGAAAGAAACCCAAACACCCATGACACGATTACCATCCAGATACAAGTGCGGCTGCTCATAATGATGTTGTACCTCAGAGGGTTACAGACAGCCACGTAGCGGTCCACAGCCATCGCTCCCAGTAACGCGAACTCTGTGGTCCCCACAGAAAGGTACAGGAAGAGTTGAGCGACACACGCAGTCCAAGACATCGTCTGCATCCCAGGCCGCAGCAAGCCCCAGAGCATCACGGGCACGATTATGGTTGTGATCAGGATCTCCAGGACAGAGAGGTGGCTGAGGAAGAAGTACATGGGGGACTGCAGACGCTTATCAACACAGACAATCATGATGATGACCGCGTTTCCCATCAGGGTCACTGAGTAGAAGAAGAGGAATATAGCAAAAAGAATCTGATGTAGCTCTTGGGACCCAGGGAAGCCTAGAAGGCAGAATTCAGTGACACTGGTGTGGTTGTCCCCCATGTCATCTTTGCTTCAGCTTCTTGAGAAATCTAGAGATCCAAAGAAAGGCAATGTTCCACATGATCCTTGTCTCAAGAGAGAAGGAAGAGAGAGGTAGAAGAACTACCTCCAGCCCAAGGACCGGGTGACATCATTAGACCTACTTTGCTCTACATAGAGAGCTAAATTTTGCCACCTCCAATCTGCAGTGAGGATCCCACTTTGCTGTGGAGCTAGCTCCCTGGAAAGGGTGAAGACATCTTCTATTCTAGTAGTATGAGAAAAACCATCTTTGTTTTTCCCCTATGGGTGTGCCTGCTCACAGGCGGCCCATGATAAGAACTTCTCAATATACCAGTTTTGAAAGTTTTGAAGTTGAGTCCATCAGAAACCTCTAGTCCTGGAATTGTCCCACTTCCTCTTAGGTTAACTCTACCAGATGACATAAAGTCATTCCAGATGATTTTCAAAGGATGGAACTTTGACCCTGAGCCCTCATCTTAATGGTAGTATGTAGACCCACCCTAAGGCCAGCAGGAAAGATGCAGGGGGTCTAAGACCAACCTCCCTGCTCTCCCCATATTTTATAACTTCCATATTACAGAATAGCAAGATCTACAGATAAGAATACTGGAACTTGGGATCATTTCCCAGAGCAGATTAATTCTTCTCTAACTCCTTTTTCCCTCCCAAATCACGAGAGGAAAGAAAGATGGCACCTGGCAGAGACAAGGAAGAGGCGAGAGGCTATCTGCTGTTCTCAGGTCATTATCCATTACTCAAACATCACCTCTCCAAAGGACTCCTCCCAGTCACCCTACCTAATTTGGGAAAGACACGCTCATTATTGGACTTCAAGTTTTTTCATGGAACTTGTTGTTTTGTTTGTTTGTTTGTTTGTTTTTTACCTGGTATTACATGACTGGCTATTCATTTCATTCCTTCAATTAACATTAAGCAAATGTGACCATGAAAAGAACAAATAAAATCCCTGCTCAATGAAGCTTATATTTAAGGAGGAGGTGGGTCTAGACCATGCACAAGACAAGCAAGCAAATTATATAAGATGTTAGCTTATTAATTATGCCATTGAGGAAAATTAAAACAGGGACTAGGGATAGAAAATTTAATTAAACTCTTTTATTTTTCATCTATGACATTAGAATATAAACTCATTGAGGGCAAGGACATGTCTTTTTCAATCCTGTATTCTGAGACAGGAACATAAAATGTATACATATAAAATATTCTTCAGCCAAATAAGTAATGCTGAAAATTTTTGGTGGATGGTGTGCATATGGATGCACCATTCATGATTAAATAATACTTGTCATGGCCAGGACTAGTTAGACCATATCCCCTCAGTCCTACTCTCCTTGGTTACCATCTTCAATTCCTCCTGTCCCTTCCTGAGGCAACCATCTCAGTATCTCTATGGCTTTTTACTGATGGACAAACAAACTTCAAAACCAAAATTGTCATGTGAGCTCCTTAGTCTATCTTCCAACCACCTCTTCCTAATCAGCCCTAGAAGAAAAATGAGAAAGAAGGAACCTGACAAGTGTGAGGGAGATTTGTCTACATCTAGCCTTGGAGATGAGCCATTCACTGTGCTGCTCCCCTGGCCCACCTTCAAGCTCTCTGAGTCCTTGTTCTATAAAGCTGTCAAGCCTAGAGTTTCCCATCCAGAGCCTCCTCTACTCTCTCCTTCACAGAGGAGAATCCTTGAGAAGACACTCACCTCCATAGAAGGGCTTCTCCACCATTGCTAATGTTTTCTGAGCCTGGCCAAGGCTGACTCCTCTCCAGTTAGTGTTGAGCATGCACAAGCAGATGACTTCTGTCTCCATTCATGATGAAGGACGAAGTTGTCCTCATGGAGGAGCTTAGAAAAAAGTCCATAAAAAATAGTGTGGTGTAGAGTTGAGTGTCTCTGCCTCTCTCTCCTTCCCTCCTTTTCTTCCCAGGGGGACTTAGTTATAAAGTATTTCTTAATTAGCTCAGGTTCAGAGAATCCCTAAGCAATCAGTCTGTGGAGAGTAGAACACAGTTTTTAGTTAGTCCCACTTTTGATCAATTAAGATTTAGAATTTTTGAAATTTTCTGTTTAATGGGGAAACCTGAAGTCTTATCAACCAGAGACTTCTTAGCACCAGGCTGCCTTCCCCCAAAGCCCAGTCTAGGTTTGCAGAAGTCACCATCAATATCCCTCAGAGACTGCATATTGGTCTTGATCCAAGAATTAACTTCACCATAAATGCCCTGCAAACTTCTTCAGTCATTTTACAGAGGGCCCTGCTCCTGTTTCTGTGAACACTATAGAGTATTGTAGAGAGTTTCTGTCGCTACCTCCATGTTGGTATTGCCTCAGGTTCCCTCTTCTGAACATATGCGCATCCGTAGGCATTCAAGTAGGATTCCTACCATTTTTTTTTAATAGCGTATCCCTGCTTACCAGCTGGACCACTTCGAAGTGGGAAAAGCATAAGGACAACCCATGCTGATGGTTATATTTACTACCTGGAAGAAATGACAAATGTAAATTGCAAATCTGCTTGGTGCTGGAGTAAGGCAGAAAAAGTGAGAATTACAAAACATTTTTCTGAATTTAGGTTTTAATTTTAAGAATACCTATTAAATCTGAGAATGTCAATTCGTGCCTGAGGATATAAATTGGGAATAAACTTTCTTCCAATTCCTTAAATTGCCTGAACCCAAGTAGTTTGCATATAATTTTAGATAACTTCCTAAAAATATGTAACTCTATATTCTTTTTAAAGAAATACTGTGAGAATCTAGTTTGAAACCTTTTCTCTCTCACTTAATAACATATAAAATATACCTTCCCATTATCAACACACATTGGCCTTATTTTTTCTTTTTTACGTAATATTTTGTTATACAGATGGCCTATTCTTTTTTTTTGAAGAGGTTTTCGCTATAGGGTGCGTGCACTCGCCAGACAGACAGAGAGACAGAGAAACAGAATGCGAGAAATCACCCCCCAGGGGGGATGGCCATGCCACAATCCCTTCTCCTCCATTCTCCTCTTGGGATCTTGGGCATGCACGCACACACACCTGGCATGAGTTTAAGCCACCAGGTCTAGGACTTGAACCGCAGTCAACTACATGGGAGTCCAGTGACATAGCCATTACGCTAACTGCTGGTCCCTGGCCTATTCTTTATTAGCTAGTCATATGTTTATTATCATTTGGTTTTCCAATTTTTTGACTATGAAAATAAATGCTATTTAACGCAATCCCAATCAAAGTGCCAGAGACATTCTTCACAGATCAAAAGACAATCATACAATTTGTCTGTAATCATAAAAAACCTCGTATTGCCAAAGCAATCCTGCACAAGAAGAGGGGACTGGGTGACATCTCACTCCCTAACCCAAAAATATACTACAAAGCTGTGGTAATAAAAACAGCATGGTATTGGCACAGAAATAGACAGTTGGACCAATGGAACAGAATAGAGTCCCTAGAAATAAACTCCCAAACATACAGCCAACTGATTTTTGACAAAGGGTGCTGGTCAATCCAGTGGGGAAAGGAAAACCTCTTTAACAAATGGTTCTGGAAAAACTGGATATCCACCTGCAGAAAAGTGAATCTGAACCTCTACCTCTCACCTTTGACAAAAATCAACTCAAAATGGACCAAAGATCTAAACCTAAGTCTTCAAACTATAAAACTGCTACTGGAAAACACTGGGGAAACTCTAGGAGACATTGGGGTAGGCAAAGACTTCTTAAATAAGACCCCCAAAGCACAGTCGATAATCCCAAAAATAGATAAGTGGGATTACATCAGACTAAGAAGTTTCTGCATGGCAAAAGACACAGTAATTAGTGTGAATTGACAGCCCTAAGAATGGGAAAATATTTTTCTAAACTATGCATCAAATAAGGGACTGATAACCAGAATACACAGGAACCCAAGCAGCTATCCCGAAAAAAGATGATTAATCTATTAAAAGATGGGAGAATGAGTTGAAAAAAACACTCTCTAAGGAAGACCTGTGAATAGCCAAAAGGCTATAAAAAAAACGCTTATCATCCCTCTTTGTAAGGGAGATGCAGATCAAAACCACAATGGGATATCACCTAACTCCAGTCAGAATAACTAAGATAAAAAAAAATAATAATAACAGAAAATGATAAATGCTGGTGAAAGTGTGGTGAAAAAGAAACTCTCCTATACTGCTGGTGGGAATGTAAATTGGTCCAGCCACTCTGGAGAAAAATTTAGAGATTCCTCAAAGACCTACAAATAAAACTACCATATGATCCAACAATCCCACTTCTTGGTATCTATCCAAAGGACAGAAGAATTCTTAATCAGAAAAGTGTTTGTACATTGATGTTTATTGCAGCATTGTTCACAATTGGTAAAACATGGAACCAACCCAAATGCCCATGAACAGAAAAATGGATTGAAAAACTGTGGTGCATGTGCTCTATGGAATACTACTCAGCCATAAAAAAACAAGACCCTGGCTTTTGACAGAGAGTGGATGAATGTGGAGGACCTGCTGCTGAGTGAGGCAAGCCAGGCAGTGAAGGAAAGACATTGTATGTCTCCACTTAACATATGCTGAGTATCTGCACTCTATGGCCAAAACTGAATGACTGAAGGCTATAGAAACTAGGTAAATGCTTGTGAGTACCAGATACAGTGTGGGAAGAGGGTGAGTGAAGGAGTAGAGGAAGATAATTTTTTAGTATGGTGAACTGGATTAGAGAGAAATGTACACATGTTGGAATATTCACTTTGTAAGCTAAGTAACATGATTGGATGCATAAAAGAAATAGAAATAAAAAAATATATTAATTAAATATATATAATATATAATATATATTAACTATATATTTAACAAGATTTTAAAGAGCTTAGATTTTCTTTACACTGTAAGACTGATGAAAATTACTGCATCATTTCTACTTTATAAATGAGGAAATTATGGTACAGGGAAGATGAATGATTTGCCCAAGCTCTGCAAATCATTGATGA